TTATGTCACATGAAACCTCGTTATCCCAAGTGGCATTTTGAATCAACTATAAAACATAAAAATATTGGTTTGAATTCAGTTCTGATTGATCCTAATCCCTTCCGATATTTGGTTGTCTTCACTCTTCTTCCGATTAAGGATAATCCTAATTTATTAATTCAAGATAAAGAACACTATCATTCTTGAATTTCAAGGTTATTATTATTTTATTAATTTCAAGAAACCTAATTTACTAATCTATATATATATTCTTCATTTTGTAAAAATAATAAATACCTTAAATCATTTAATTTATTATCTTATAAAATTTAAGAAGATATCACCATTAACTCTTTTTTTTATACATTAAAAAATATATTTTTTTTCACATAATATATATAAACTATAAAAGATGATTTACATACATACCACTTTATATCATGCTATTTATATATCTAACATCTAAAATTTTAATTTGTTATGCCTATCATCCATAGATCAAATATGGGCGTGCAATGAATGAAATATTAAAGTTTATAGGATGGTATGTGACATAAATGAAATATATGAGTGTCAGATTTGATATTAAAGTCTTCTATGGGTGATAGATATAAAATATTAAAATTTGAAGTGTTAAAAATAAAAGTAGTATGATATAAAGTAATATATATGTAAATCCCCCTTATAAAAATACTAATTTTTACTGTAATTTACTAATTTGAAATAAGAATAATATATCATCAATTAATTAATACTTATAAAATTAATATTTATATTATACTTTATCTAATATTAAATTCAATTATTTTAATATCTATTTTTAACCTTATCTTTCTCTTTTAAAATTTACACACGTGGGCAACACACGCTTATTTGAAGCTTCCTGTTCACCAAGTCATTGCTTTGAAGTTTGAATTCCTCATAGAAAACGTCCACGTCCGCGTCGCCTTTGACCAGATCAGATTCCTTCTTATCAACGCATATTAATAAGCCACCGCCTCTTCATCTTCTCCACATATTCCTCATTGAGCAAGGCAATGTTCAACCAAATGGCTCGCCGGAAGCGTTCGAAGAAGAACCCATACTCATCTCGCGGCCTCGACAAATTCTCCTCTGTTGTATCAGAACTGGATGCCAGAAAGAAGAAAATCATGTCCAGCGCAGGCGCTAATGGCGTCTCCTTGGTCCGGTTCATGCACTCCAATTCTCATGATTGGACTCCGGTCATCGTCCGGCAAAGAGAGGAGGAGGAAGATAAAAACAAGGCTATGGATAAGGAACTTTTGCCGGCGGTGACGGCGAAGACGGAGAGGGGGAAGAAGGAGATGAAGTGGTGGAGATGGAGGCCTTCTTATTATCTGTTGGCGGTGATGCTTCTTATATTGGTTTGTTTTGTTATTTCTGGGCGGGTGTTCGCTATTTGTTGTTTGTCTGTGTTGTGGTATTTGTTGCCATTGCTGAAAGGTGAAGAGAATGGGAATGCAGGGAGGAGGTGGGGGGTGAGGAAGACGATAGGTGGAGCATGAGTTAAAGGTGCCCTCTTGGTGTTTTTTTTTTTATGTAAATTATGAGAAAGATTGATATGAATACTTTTATTTTTATGTAAGTTTAGAAAGGTTAATTTTGGGCTATAATTTTTGGAAAATTATTCTGTGCGGAATATCCGAATGTGTTTGGAGGCGAATTCGAGCATGCCACATCACTGGGGCCCAGTGCATCCGGTGATGTGATGCGTCCGGATTCGCCTCCGAATACATTCGGATTATGCAAAGGAATGATTTCTCATAATTTTTAGGCTAGTTTATCGATCTTAGGCTTCATTTGGAACATCTTTCTTATTGTTTTTTAAAACGATTTTTTATAACAAAATTTTTTGAACTAACAAAATTTGCACTAGAAAGTAGAAAACTGTTTTAGAAGCAGTAAGAAAGCTGTCTCAAACGGAACCTAACAAATTTGATTATATTGTAACTTTTTTCCATTTATTGCATGACTAATTATGTACTAATCACGATCTTAAGTGATTAACAAAAGTATAATTTCATAAAGCAGTTCGATGGACATAAACAATAAAGCAATCATACTTTTATGATAAACAATTAATCTACCAAATATTTCATGAAACTAATTAGCACGATGAAGCTAGAATCTTCAAAACAAAATTTAGGAGCATATCCCTTATTTCTACTGTTCAATATTAGGAATATCATCAACCCAAACAAAATCAAATACCTAACATGCAGTAGGGGCGAATGCAGTATGGGAGTCCTAAGGGCACTTAATTAAGTATATAAATTATTTATATTATTATTATTATTATTATTTTGTGTACCTCTTCTGATCGGCGATCCTACTCCGCTCCTGCCGCTTTTTTTTGTTTTTTTGAGACATTTAGGTCATTTAAGATAAACTCACTTACACAACGCTTACATAAAGACTCGAATCTAAGACCTCTTAGTTGGAAGCCTAAGCTCTTAACCAATGTGACGCACGCACGGACCACAAAGAAGGCTGTGGAGGCGAAGCATGGGAGCGACTCAGCAAAGAAGCAAACTCACATTTTCCCTTCTTCTTTCTCGTTGAACCTCTCCCGATTCCCAAATCTAAAAGCTTCACGACGTCTAGCAAGGCGGCAATGCAATAGAAAGGCCTCGAGTATTTCTTACTTCTAAGTTTTTTTTTTTTTTTTGGTGATTAGTTGAATGAGTTGATGATTTGTCTAGATGCCCAAACTGATCTAATTAATGCATGCATTTCTTTCTAAGGTAAGGGACAATTATAAATTGATAATTTCTTTATTTCGCAAGCATTTCTGGATTAATTGGCTTGTACGCTTCTCTCTGCCTTCGTTTTGGGACGGCTGCAGCCTGCAGCTGTCGGTAAAGCAGGTTGTGAAGTTGTTGTGCATAAAGCTGCTTTATAAAATTATTGTACATAAATCAATCAATTTTGTTTGGATAGTATAACTACTGATCACCTACTTTGATGCTACTATATGACAACAAATTACCTTAACACCCTTGTATATATATATTGGAATGAAATTTTTTTTATTGAATATAAATATTTTTAAATTTATATTATAACAAAATAATAATTCTAAATTCAAAACAAATATTTATTTTAATTTTTTTTAAGTTTATATATCAAAATACTATAAATTTTTAACTTAACTTTTTCTATCATACTTCAAACTAATTTGTTCAAAATTTAGATTCTCAATTATTACTTTATAATAAAACTTTTTTTTTCATAATAATACAATATCCACTTTGATTCTTAATACATTAGTCTGATATTTTTAAAAACATTTTACTTGCTTATGTGAACTGTATAAGAAAACCAAAGCAATCAAATCATCAAAACTTTGTATGACATTCAAACCAAAATCACGATTAGAAAGCCAGTCAAATGCATTGAAATTTGCCTTTTACCCAACGAACGGGCTGCTAAATTTTGCACATAGCTACTGCTGATTGCTTCTCATTCTGCAATTGTGCTACTACAGACTCAAGATTAACTTGAAGATCTTTTGCCTTCAGATCTGACATATCCCTTGCATGCACTATCTCATAAACAAAGATTAAGCACATATGAGAATAATTCAAAGGCTTCAGAGAGCCATACAATATCAGTCACGTCCTAGTGTACGAAATAGAAACATGCAAACCAAAAATTAAACTCAAAATTTGCACGATGTACAAAAAAATACCTTTGCCATCTCAGTACAACTATTTCTCATATAATGTCACTTACATTCCAACTCCCCTGCTTGTGCTTCTAGCTAGTGGACAATATTAAAAACTAGAGAAAATCTCAAAATATCGGATGCAGATTTATATTGATAATTCGTATACACATCAGTTCATAAAGCATAACACATTGTACATGCTAACAGCAAAAACACTTTAACATAAAACTACAAGTATAATACACAGCTCATCTAACATGAGGCAAATTGATACCAATGTTCTTTTGTAAATATTTGCTACATTAAGAAACTTGTATAAATTGAAACTATTATATCTGAGGCAAAAATATAGTGTTAATTCAATAAATGGCATGACAATTGCAAAGAAAACAACTGCTTTGATTCATATATTTATACTTCTCCGCAATTCTCAAATTAAACTTATCTATTTGAAAATGTTTGTATTATACTTTTAGAAAAATATTTCTATTATAATTTTAAAGTGAAACAAAAAATCAGCAAAAGATTCACAAACTTAATCAAATAAAACTTAACATACTACCAAACAAATGAAACTTCCTAATTCATCTAATCCATCAATGCATCTGTGATTTTCTCTCGTAAATGGATCATCTCCTCCGCACCTTCACCATCTCGTGCCTCCTGACTAAAACCATTCTCTTCAGTCTCTACTAATGATTGTCCAATTCTATACTCATATGCCTCTTCTGGTATATATGTTATTTCTGCATCACATATATTGAATTTTGGGTCTTCTCGAGTGGGATGTCGACTTATGTAATTATGCAATGCCATTGTTGCAATAACTATTTTTATTTGTTTTTTGAATGAATATGCAGGCATATCTCTTAATATGACCCACCTTTTCTTCCTAACACCAAATGATCTTTCAATTACGCCTCTTAATGAGGAGTGTCGTTTGTTAAAAGTTTCTTGCCTTCCCCGTAGGCTTCCTCTTTCAAAATCAGGTATATGATATTTGGTATCTGGAAATTGCTTTAAAAATCCCCGTTGCATTGGATAACCAGCATCGACAACATAATATTTTCCTGTTATAAGCTATATATAATTTAGTATATGTTTTACTAATACTAGCATTACAACTATATAGAACGTACCTGGAGGTGGCATGAGAAAGTTATTGCATCTATTATGAGTTGCAAATTTAAAAATACGACTGTCATGTGCACTTCCTTCCCATCCTGCCATGATAAAAGTAAAGCACATGTTGAAGTCACACACAGCCACAACATTTTGCGTTGTTGGCCCACATCTTCCTATATAAGCTGCTTTCTTAGCATTCGAAACACGAGCATCCACATGTGTTCCATCGATAGCTCCAATAGAGTCCTATTTAAGAAGCGATCTTTAAATATTATATACATTTAAACAAATCATATAATGAGATAATAAAAAAAATTACATTGAAATACGGCATATATCGATTATCATACAAAATATTCCTTAATTAGGATATCACAAAATTCAGCATCAATAGGCTTAATCACAGAACATGATAATTTTTCCAAAGCCTCCAATCTAATAGAGAAATGCCTACTTATTATCTCAGTTGAGTGTTGAAATCGCTCACATGTGGACCTTATTGATTCATTATGCGATAAAATATATAAATTCATCGCAAGTACTTCTCTACTTGTTATCCTTGATGATCCATGTAGACCATTAACATATTCCAATTCATTCAATAGATCTAAAAACTTTGCTTGAGACATACAAAACATATTATGAAACCTCGTTGGATGACCTTATAGCAGCTCTCCAATCCAATTGTCTCCTCTATACGACGATATCATGCACGGTGTCTTGTAAATATAAGTTTCATAATACTTATTTATAAGACATATTGTCACAAGTATAGTCTTTTTAATATTTGCAATATCGGCTGACTCACTTCTATTCTCATTACATTCCATTCCTGCATATAGTTTACAATAATTATTAATATTTTATTTATATAAACACCTGATATGATATCAAAAGTAAATCATACATTTTAGCAAAATTTAAATATATGCACTTCTCTTTTAAGAAAATTATAAGTACAAATCAATTTCCAGCAATGAGAACAATGAACTATCCCCAAAGGATATCTCCACCAACTTAATTTAAGATAAACTTCTTCCAATAATTACTTTGCACATCAACTTTTCTTAAGTAACAAATTTTCTTAAGTAATGCATTATCAATGTCACATACAATTCAATCAATTAATGATAAATTCAAATATTCATTCAGCAATTTTGGAAGAAATACCAAGTGCAAGCATGAGAAATGGTCTGATAAAAGGACTAAAAACCTAACCTACAGCAACATTAAAAAAAAAAGTTCAATACAAAGGCAGCAATTGTCATGAAATATGTAATACTTACAGCAAAAACAGCCATTCAAATAAATTAACATGTGCTCATAACATTATGATTCAACAACAGAATTACCTGTAAACTCAGACATATAAATCCTCTGAAGAGAGCAAGAACCCCTTTTCTTATTGCGGCTACGTAGCTTAATCTTCAAAAAGGCAAAGCTGTAACACGATCATATTTCTTTCACTGAGATGTAAATCCCATCAACAATCTCTACCTTGGTTAGTTTTATGATACAAACAGAATAAAGGATTGAATAGCTCAAGATGCTGCATAGTAAGAAGGATATGCCACGTACTTATAAGGTAATAAGAGACTGTTAGCTTAGAACTATTAAACATTTTCAAATATGCGGCTATTTTGCTAATGATGATTCTCCATTTGTCAATGGATGCAGCACTTCGACGGAGCAAAAAAAGAGTAAAAAATGCAATCCATATAGAGTTATCTTGCTTGCTAACTAGAGATCTAGCACCTAAACTAGAGAATGAGTCCATGCTGTTACATTCATCTATGCTTGAATGCCCCAGAAAATAAACTTTAGACATGCATATGGATCGATAGAAAAATCTGTTTGGTCAGATGGAGATATCACTTTTGGAGGAGGGAAAACATCTTGTAAGTCTCAAATTTGTGGCTTTTATTAAGCTTTATTGTTTATAAGAAGTTTTAATATGTGCTACATTTTATGACTATACCAAAGTCTAGAATGCTGCTTCATAAAACTGTATTTATTTGATTTTCTTTAATTCAATAATCTCTTGCTTTGGATAATCTTATTTTTAAATATGAATAAGATGACAGGATTTAGTTTTGAATTTAAAATTTTAATACCTATTTCTGTAGATAGACTTTAGAGCATGTTATTTTTACACCTACTCCAAACAAATCCATACTGATCTACTATTTTGGCTAAATATAAAGATAGATAAAAACAGGACATGTGAAGTCATCAATCATGCCGGTTCTTCAATCTTCAGTTGCAAGAGAAAACTTACTAAAGGAATATATTGAGAATATATACATTCCATTATGTAAAAATATTTCTGAGAACGATAGTTTTTAACAGCAAAGCATGCTTCAAGCAAATGAAACATTGCCCGTGAATAACTGAAAATCTGTTTCATTGGCCATTCCCTTGGTTGGCATCAAGAATCAATAATCCATTAAAACAAAATTAAGTTAGATTATTATCCAAAGGGAAAATCCATAATTACTATATAAGGTTCAATTTAATTTAGAAAAAGAAAGCAAAAGCAAATACATCCAAGATCCAAATAGAATGAAGAAAATCACAATTTCTAATAATCAAAGATCAATTAAAAGAAAATACAAAGTTATTGATTCTTTAGACGTTTATGAAACTATGATAATTGCTATAGTGTCCATGATTTTCATAGCAATTATCAAATGTATTAGACGAGAATAATGAGTAGTAGAACTAAATCGTTTCAAACAACGATTAATGGTACTGAGATTTAGACACATTAGAAACAAATTTTCTCGCTTTCCGGAATTTGAATCCTCGAGAGAAGCTTGGTGGAAAAAAAAAAAAATTACCAAAGGAGATAATAACAAAATATAGTTGCAATGTTCTCACAATTGTGTTAGTTCCAGAGTTATCTGTTACAGTTGTTTTGTTTCATGAAGAAGAACTTTAAAAACATAGCAAGAAATTGGGAGATTTTGGTTTATTAAATGTGACTTTGTGATTTGCTTTATGATGAAGTTCAGTTCTTAAACTTCTGTGATTAATGTTCTGGCGCTTCTTATAACAAAAAGACAGTATTGACATATGCTGTGTTACTATTTTTACGATTTCTACTTTCTCGAGAAGTAGCAAATGTAAGAACCATATATTTTATTCTTTTTTCTTATGTTTCAAAATTTTTTTACCGTGGTTTGTCATAAAAAATCGTTTTAAAAAACTAATAAGGCAAAGATTAAAAGTTTGTACGATGCCACACATGGGAGTGCGCCTCAAATTTTCAATGAGTAAGTACTATATAAATCACTAATGCTCTCCCAAATAGAAAAATTAATTTTTGAGAAATTGTGTGAGTAAATCGACCTCTTTAAATATAGAAAATCGCATAATCCGATGTATTCCGGAGGCGAAATTACCTTGGATATAATAATTGTCGTCTACTCAAGAATCTATTCACCTGTGCATGCCACTGGGCCCCATGATTGCAATGCTCGAATTCGGCCTAGTAACATTTTTCCATTATGAAGTCCTTTGGTTTGGAGTTCAAGCGCGAACACCATTAATCGTTCGATATTCCGCACAGAGTAATTTTTCCAAAAATTTATAGCCCAAAAATTAAACCTTTCTAAAATTATATAAAAAATAAAAGTATTTACATAATCAATCTTCTCATTAATTTACATAAAAAAAAACACCAAGAGAGCACCTTTAAACTCATCCTCCACCTATCGTCTTCCTCACCCCCACCTCCTCCCTGCTATGCCCATTCTCTTCACCCTTCAACAATGCAAAACATACCACAAAACACAAGACCAAACAACAAATCGCAAAACACCGCCAGAAATAACAAAACAAAACCAATATAAGAAGCATCACCGCCAACAGAAATAAAGAAGGCCTCCATCTCCACCACTTCATCTCCTCTTCCCCCTCCCGTCTTCGCCTCACCGCCAGCAAAAGTCCTTATCCATAAGCCTTGTTCTTATCTTTTTTTTCCCGCCTTCCTCTCTTGGACCGAGACGATTGACCGGAGATGCCAATCATGAGAATTGAAAGTGCATGACCGGACCAAGGAGAGAACGGCCATTAGCCGCCTGCCGCTGGACATGATTTTCTTCTTTCTGGCCTCCAGTTCTTGATACAACAGAGGAGAATTTGTCGAGGCCGCGAGATGAGTTATTGGGTTCTCTTTCAACGCTTCCGGCGAGCCATTTGGTCGACATTGCCTTGCTTCAAATGAGGAATATGTGGAGAAGATGAAGAGGCGGTGGTCTTATTAGATATGCGTTGAATAAAGAAGGAATTCTGATCTGGACAATAGGCCGAACACGCGCGGAAACACGTTCTGAACGATATATTATCTATGAGCGAGAGAATTTACTATACAAGATAACACGCTATTCAATCAAGCATTGCCACTGAATCTTCTTGAAATTTTTTGCGATGATACTTGAGGGAAGCTTCAATATAAAGCGCTCGTTGTTACAGACCAACAACTAAATGTGTGTATATTATAATATTAAAGAAGAAGAAGATAAGGTTAAAAAATTAAGATATAATTATAGAAAGAGTAGCATATTATAATTATTTAATGTGAAATAAATTAGAATTTATTTACCTCTAAATTCTCTTATTCCACCATTCATCAAGTATTAGTTATTCTCACACAATAATATGATTTTTTTATTATACTATATAGAATATATATTCGCACATACCCAGGTCCAGTTAGTATATTATTTCCATCTATATCTTCCAAAATATTTGTCAAATTTCTACATAATATGCTTCTAAAAATTTTTATATTATTTAATTTATGAAATGCACCCGAAGTATTTTTATTCAACTGATACTTATATTAATCCATACTTCTCATTCATACTACTCTCAAGTTTTTCTCATAAAATAATTATTATTAAACTATATAAATTGTTAATATTTCTTCATCAATACCCCTTGAGTGCGACCCATTATGAAGAATTGACAGTGTGTTGTGTTAGATATCAAATGTCTTGTCAAGAATTACCATACATCTCTACCTATTAGAACTATTAACATACTATCTAGTGACAATATATCATCACACTCAACTATTATTTCTCACAACACTATGTTTGAACGGTATTTGGTCCGCATCATTCCATTTTGTGGCCACGTCTACCCACCTATATTCTATAGTCATTTTCTACTGTGTGAAATTTGCTGTGCTGCATCCCAAAAACTAAGGTAGAGTCCATAGTTTGGCAAGAGTGCATTAAAATTTTAGATTCGGTGAATTTGTCGAAAATTGTGTTCTCTCTTTGTTTAGCAGAAGTGCTTTCTTTATATCTTGCTATCTATCGGATAAGTTCCATCATAAGTCACGCGTAGACAACGGTTAAGCAACGCTTCTTAGAATGTTTAGAGCCTCCGTTAGAATGGTGCGGTAGTTGAATAATAGAAGTGAAGTAGAAAATAGTCAAGTTATCTAAGAAGCCTATGTACCACTGGTCTTGGTCACGAGAGAGAGCATTGCCTCGTAGAAGCGATGAGAAGCCCATTCTATCAATGCGAGCTATATTGGGCACTCCTAAATGTGCTAAATGTTTTAGATTGTCACTCCTCAAAAAACACACAAAGGAAATAAGATATCCTCAAGAGCACTTCTAAAATGTAGCAGAGCAGAACAAACCAAAGTCTCACACTCAATCTCGGAGATCTGTATAAGATACCTCTATAGCTTGACTGACCACGCAAATAATATTTGAGAGTGCATACATCAATTGGCCTGTATCCGAAATATGAAACGCACAGATCGATTAGGTGTAAGAAGCGCGGCTCAGGATTGTCTTACAAGGGAGCGATTAAAAAGACAAGAACAGAGAGAGATAGAGAGAACTTACCAGGGCAAGACTGAAAAAGTCCTCCGAGAAGAGTTAAAAAAAAAAATGGCATAGTTCTCCATAATACCACAGGCGGCAGGAAGACACAGACACGGCTACCACAAACGGCAGTGGTCCGCGGCAGGGCTCTCTGAATCTGGAAAAAATGAACTTTGTGAAAAGGTGTTGCGAAAAGAACCAGTAGCTAGTTATGAGTACCAGGCGAAGTATATAATCAGGAGTAAAATCAACTGATGATAAAAACCAGAAAAAAATTAATGAAACAAGTCATTAAATAGATAATAAGCTCAATATCCTTCACCCAACAATAAAATGAGAGAACACCGATCCCGGAAATGTTGTTCCTGTGGATCATGTGGACAGGCATGGAGGAGAGAGCGACGTGGTTCTTTGTCTTGGACGCGGTTTGAGGAAGTGCCAGATAAAAGGAGAGACCAAGCAGGTAAGAGAATCGGAGCAGGCAGTGTTTGCTAAGTGATTTCTGGGCTGAAGGAGGGGGGATTGCTGTAGTGAGGAGAGGAAGTTGATAGCTCGTATTTGGGTCGTTGGATCTACCTGACGTGGGAATCTGCTTGCGAGCTGTGCGTGAGGGCGGCGGACGTGACCGTGGAAAGGGCAGAGA